CAGCCACTGTCTGCAGCCAGCCAAGCAGTCCTGGCTCGCACTGGTCCAGGATACTGCACCTCTGCACTTTAAATATAGTATGAGCCCAGTGGCTCTTGCTACGTTTAAAATGCAGAGCCACAGTGCAGGTGGCTCCCCAGCACTATCTACACGATTAGTTAGATAACCCCAGTTTAACATCCTTACATTGTATTCCAGATTTGTCTGCTAATCAGTGGTGCTGTTTACATACAATAATAAATGTATTCATATCTCCTTTGTGACAACCCCTCCCCAGTTGTAAATAACCATTTTAAAGTACAGGCAGTCCCCGGGTTACGTACAAGATAGGGACTGTAGGTTTGTTCTTAAGTTGAATTTGTATGTAAGTCGGAACTGGTACATATTGTAGGGGAAACTCTAGCCAAACATTTCTCCAGAGCTCAGTTTTATTCTCCCACACCTCACTTCCCTCGGTCCTTTATTCTCAAGCTGAGGTGTCTGCTGAGAAAAGCCGCTCCACGTCTCCCTGGTCTGCTGTGGGGGGGCGCTAGCTTTGCGTCGCCCTGGTCTGCTGGGGGGAAGCAGCTAGTGCGGGGTTGCCTCATCCCGTTTGTAAGTAGGGATCCGATGTAAGTCGGATCCATGTAACCCGGGGACTGCCTGTAGTCATGAAGTACATCTCCTTGATGTTAACAAGCAAACAAAACCTCTCAATCCCCAATCTTTACTAGACAGATTATTCTAGTTAATCCCCTAGGATTTACTATAGTTTTAAAAAAACTTCTTGGGTCCTTTTGGAATGAATTGTACTTTATAAATATAAAACTTCTCTTGTACAGACTGTAGTGATCTGTCAATTCAAAATGTTTTTCATCATCACCTCCAGGGTTCTCTAGCTTCAGTTAAGTGTGTCTGAATCTCAGAGTTCAGACAGCAAAGAAATGGAAAATGTTCATGTGTCTTAGGCTTGTCTACCTGAATAGCTCTACAGAGGCTTTGCTGCAGAGCTTTTGTGAAGACTTCACTGCATTGACAGGAGAGCTTCTCCCAGTGGCATAGTTAATCACCTTCCCAAGTGACAATAGCTGTGTTTAAGGGGAGACGCTCTCCTGCTGATTTAGCACTGTCTATATGGGGTGTTGGGTTGGTGTCCTTGTCGTTCAGGAATTTGGATTGCTGCAGTTGTACCAATGTAGGACTGGATCTGTAGAGTATAGTTGGCCTTTTATTTCCTTAGTTCAGCCTCCAAGTCCATAGAATGAGCTGCCTTGCATGTAGCATGTGATAGGGCCATTTTCCTAGCCTTTGTAGTACAAAGTTCTTTGATGGCTCATCTGATTTTGGTGGTTCTTCTGGACAGCCTGGAGAAAACTCTTCCCATCTGAGGTCAGAAATTTTAGAGTAAACATTTTCCAAGTTATAAAGCAAAACATATATTTCCTAATAGCATGGAATGTAGACATGACGAATAAGATTAATTCATGCAGCAACTTACAGTCTAAACACTAAATGCATTCTTATTCTAATAACTATTTAAAGCAACACTTAATACACAAAGGAAGTGGTCTGGTCTCCTGCTACAAGTTTATCAGTTCTTAGTTAACGCCTGCAGTCTTGGCAAGAGCTATCACCTGGCTAGCCAGCATCACAATGCACTCAATACTATCCCAACTATTTGTAATCTTGATCTCATTCAAAACTGTTTGCAGATACTTTTTTCAAGTGAAGTTTAGCAAAACCCATGCTCATTATTCCCCAATCTGTAAGGTGACCGCTCATGGGAAATCCCAAACTTTGGGTTTCTTGTCTTGTCATGTTTCCTCTTGGAATTCTTAGCTTTTAGCATTTGTTTTTTCCATGAGAAGCTCAGAAACTTATGGCTGAGCATGGTAGAAGTAAAGGTGTAAGGTTGGACTTCCCCAGTCTGGCACCCTGGGGACCTCAGAGGTCCCAAACTAGGGAGTTTACCAGACCAAGGGAGGTCAATGCTCCCCTGCTGGCCACTGGTTACCACTCCCAGAGTTCTCTCCTGGCCACCAGCCCAGGCCACTGGACCCTGGTCCTGGCAGGGCTTCCTGCCTCTGTCTCCCTTGCCGCCAGCTTGGCTTGCTCCTGGTCCTGGCCGGGAGCTCCCCTGTGCTTCTGGCTCTAGTAGAACTCTTGGCTATGCTCCTGACTGTGGCCAGCTCCCCCTCCCAGCCACTGGGGCTCTCTGGTGTCTTGCTGCAGTTGGAGGAGTACAAGGTTTTCAGCAGAAGACATAAACTGCAGAATTCTTATGACACATAATTCTAGACACACAAGGTGGGTGAGGTAGCACTTTTACTGGACCAATTTCTGTTGGTGAGAAGCAGAGCTCTGTGCCATCTCAAAAGCTTGTCTCACTAACAGAAATTGGTCCAATAAATGGTATTACCTCACCTGCCTTGTGTTTCTAATATCCCGAGACCGACACTGCCGCTACAAAACTGCCAAATTATGCTAACTATTCCTAAACTTAATTTGCCTAGGTTGTTCCTACTACTGATCACATAAATACAGAGAAACTGAAGGCCCGAGAACAGATCATGTTTTTTGAAGAAGTTCTGCTTTTTGAAGATGAGCTTCATGATCATGGAGTTTCAAGTCTGAATGTAAAAATAGTAAGTTTAATCACTTCCTGTGTACGTAATCCGTCCCCCCAGAAAATCCTCTCTTGAGTGGAAATTAAGATAAAATAAGAAGCAGACCAAAGGTACTGTTTGTAGGTTAGTTAAAACCCATAAAATTGATGAGTTGAAAAGCAGGCCTTCTTTAGGATTAAAAGTAACATAATTATGGTTTGCAAGAGAAAGACAAACCCAAGGTCACTCAGGAATTCTAAAGACTTTGGTAGAGGGTGGTGGGTTAGTTGGTTTGTTTTTGTTTGTTTTTACTGAGTACTGCTTTTGGAGTAAGAGTGTTCTGTGGATGGGGAGAGCGGGGAGACACAGACTGAAGCAGAGAGACAGAGTGCTATGCAGACATAGCCTGGAATAGAGATGTTAAATATTGCTTAATTGAATAGTCGATTAACCTCATGAATTCTTATAGGTGAGTTGACTATTCTACAGTCCCTGGGGAAGGGCTGCCTGCCAGTGTGCTCCGGCCTCACTCCTGAGGAGTCCTCTGCCATTCCGCGCTGCTGCCTCTGTATCAGAGGCAGCAGCGCAAGTGCCAAGCAGGAGCTAGACTGCAAGGGGAGCCAGTTTAAAAATCAGCTCCCCTTGTGGACCATCTGCTTGTTTCCCTGTGCTGCTACCTCTGATAAAGGGGCAGTAACGTGGGGTGGCAGCAGCCCCTGTTGGGGGGGGAGGGAGTCTGAGCTCCTGCATCTGGAGCTGGAACTGAGCCAGGCTGCCTACCCGCCCGGCTCCTAATATACTTTAAATGCAGAGCTGCAGCAGGGGTAGGTCCTGGACCTGGTGTCAGCCAGGACTGAGCTGGACTGCTGGCCATCTTGCTAAAAAATTTACTGGTGATGGAAATGTTTGTAGTCTATAGCATTAACCTATAAGCTTTTGCTTATCGGTTAATTGACTACACTATTACATCCCTAGCCTGGCCCTGCAACAAGCTGAGTGGAGAGGGCTTGGGATCAGAGTATTGGCTGAAAGTTTGGTTTTGTGAGCAAGGAAGCAGTCTCCTTTTTTGTTTTTGTGGGGGTTTTTTGTTGTGCATTTGAAGGGCTTTGTACATTCTTTGTAAATAAACAAAAATAACAGACTTCATCATGAGTGAAGTCCCCAAACTTTCACAAGCTCTTTGGGTCCAAGGGTTAACAGTATAATAAACTAACATTTAAAAATTATTTCAGTGTAAATAGCCAAATGTTTTAATGTTATAGATAAGGAACATTGCTCAGGGACTCTGTCCCCCTTAATAGCATCTTAGGCAGTTTCTCACCTGCTTCACAGGGAGAGATGAGGATTAATTGCCTGAGATGTGTAAAGCACTTCATATTTGTGAATGCTGTAAAAGTGTGTATCAATTGCCATCAGCATACTAGCGTTTTTTCTTCTGTTACAAAATCCTAAGAGCCCCTTACATGAATAAGACCGAACCACTTCCTCCAGACTTGTGAGGTATGTCTATACTGCAGTTGGCAGTGTGCTTCCCACTATGGGCAGGACACTAGCACACTAAAAATAGTAATGTGGCCATTACAGCATGGACAGTGTTATACCCACGTGGTTGGAAGTGATTGTACTCAAGTGGCTAATTCAAACTGCCATCCATGCTGCCACAGCCATGTTACTGTTTTCTGCATACTAATATGAGCAGAGCTAGTGTGTGTCTTTCTACTCAACTGGGAAGCATGCTCCCAACTGCAGTGTTGCTGTATCCTTGGGCTGAGACTTGTCTTACATGATGGCCTGGGTTGCAGAATCAGAATGTATATCTTTTTAGGGGACATTTAATACCCTGTCAAATATATTTAAAATGTAAGTTTTTGTATTTTTTTTCTAAAATCATAATCTTATAGGAAAAAAAGAATTCTGGTATCAGAGGTTATAAGGACCAGTCCTCACCCCCTCCCACCCCACTGCACTGGGGAGAGCAGGATTATTATGTATGTTTTGTAACAATCTTTTGACTTGTATTATCTACTTTGCTATTTTCTCAGTTTTTTGGTGATGAGGTACAGACCTTGAGTGTACCGTTTAAAGCTCACTGCCTCCCATTCAGTTGTGCACCTGACATGGAGCTTATTTTCTTCATAAGACTATGGCTCGGAACAGTGCAAATGCTACTAGCACTAGTGGTTCTGAACATCTTATCTAAATAGCTGCATATTTTACAGTACGATGTCAATGTGTCAAAGTATACATCTTTGTTTTTTTTTGTAGAGAGTCATGCCTTCCAGCTTCTTTGTATTGTTGAGGTTTTTCTTGCGAGTTGATGGTGTACTTATCAGGATGAATGATACAAGACTTTACCATGAGGTAAACACGTATATCCCTGATGTCTGTCATGTTTCACTTGGGAGGATATGGCCCGTATGGTGTTACTTTGTGTGTTCAATATTGTTGTAGCCATGTCAATCCTAGGATATTAGGGAGAGGAGGTGGTTGAGGTAGTATCTGTTATTGAATTAACTTCTGGTTAGTGAGAGATGCAAGCTTATGAGTTTACTTAGCGCCTTCTTCAAATCTGGGAAACTTAACTCAGAGTGTCACAGTTAAAATGTATGGTTTATTTACAGAGTATTGATGGAATACTAGAAAATGTTTTTTGATAATTGTTTTACCTGTTTTCTCTCTTATTAGGCTGACAAGCCGTACATGTTACGAGAATACACATCTAGAGAAAGCAAAATTTCAAGCTTAACGGTAATGTGTATAAAAATGTTTTCCATGTATATTAGTTTCACCCATCTTAAGATGTTGTAGAAAATGCTATAGTGCTATCTGGAGGAAGATTGATACTTCTCATCGTTTGAATAATTATACATTTTAGATTCTGGATAGAATTATTCATTCAGAGTTGAAGCCCCCATGATCTCCTGCAGCAGTTAATTCTGTAGGCTGGTGGTGTGCCTACACTGCTAGCAATCTTTGAGGTCACTTACTAGCATAGATTGATGCAGGCTGGCTGATGCAAATGCTATAATTGACCTAAGAACGGAAAGTAAAAGGCATATGGTTTTATGGTACTTAAGTGCACTTGTATAATAATATGAGTGTTTCAGAGATAGCTAAAAGGTCTAGCTATTAGAGGTGGAAACTACAAGTTAGGACTGCTGAGTTCTTTTCTTGACTCCACCACAGACTCATTGTGTGATCTTGGAGAGATCCCATAATATCTCTCTGCCTCTTTTCCCCATCTATAAAATGAGGTTAATAGTGCACTAATAGGGGCATTTCTAGGGGTTTATTTGTGAAACATTGAAGATCCTTGCAAGTAAGAGATTATGCTATAAAAATGACCCTTTTTTATTCAGCACACAATATATGACATCTGCATATCGAAATTAAATCTGTTTAATGACAGAATGAGTTTGAGGTATAGGGTCTAGAGATGTAAATATCCAGTTAAAAAGCTAACCTATTAAATTATATAATTGTAATCATTCAACTAGTTAACTGTGGCTGGGGTCTGGACAGCCTGCTGCAGGTAGAGGGGATTACTCTGGCTGGCTGGCCCTCCAGTTACCAGATAAGCATCCCAGTAAGGCTGATACTTACTGGGTAACCAGGATACTTACCTGGGTAACCAGGTAAACTTTTACATCCCTAGTAGGGTCCATTTAGCTATCAGAGTGAGCTGGATGCTGTTCTGCCTCATGCTTTAAAATGATCATCCAAGCTACAGAATCTTTTTGCTGGTCATGATAAAGGACTGAACACAAATGTATTTCCCTAGTTGAGTTTGCAAAGCTGCCTGTTAGAAAACATAAATCAGCTTTTGACCTGTAAATTGGGAACATCGGATTTAAAAGTCGTTCAAAGAATAAGAGTCAGTTTCAAAATTCAACAGCACTGTGCTGTGATAAAAGCATGATAAAAGCGTGAACCAGCTGCAGTGTGGGCTGCATACCAAAAGCATATGAGTAATCTTTTAGATCAAGGGTCCGCAGCCTCTCAGAGGTGACATGCCAAGATTTAACCCTCTTGCCCTGGGCTGTACCACTCTCCCAGGAGGGAGGAAAGGGGCTCTCTCTACCATGTGCCCCGCCTGGGCTTCTGCCCTGCACTCAGCTCCAGCTATTCCTGTGGGGAGAGGAAGAGCAGTGTGCATGTGCTTCTTTCGAAGCCAGATGTGGTACGGCGCCTTAGGGCTTCCCTCCCCTCCCCCACAGAAAGCCAACACTGGCTTGTCTTCCGGGGAGGGTTAAGGGGGGAGGAGGTGCGATGCTGGATCACCGGGCTGGGGTCAGGATGGCTCGGGGGTGGAGAATTCAGGGAAATGGGTGAGGCGGAGGCAGGTGGATGACCTTGAGGTGTCCAGCCCTGTTGGGGGCAGGGTCCCATGGGGGTGCGATCCATGGCACCCTCGCCTTTCTGCCAGGGATCCAAGTGCCCAGGGCCCAACGAGGCTTTGGGGAAAGGAGACCCCACCAAGTGTTTTCCTCTCCTATAGCTGCTGCTGCCCTCTAGTGCAGTGGTTCTCAAACATTTTGGTCCTTGGACCACCTGGCTCAGTGCAAACCTTTCCGTGGCCCACCAGTTGCTAACGCAAACTCACCGGTAATTATATAATTATACCTGATTCCTTTTGCTAGCACTGCAGCTAGGAAGAATGGTTTAATTTAAATTATTAAATAGATTAAGCATTTTAACTTTCTCATGTTAGTTTATCAAACTTAATTTTAAATAAAATAAAATAGTAATTTATGTCCAGTACAAAAGGTTTCAACGTTTTCTTTCTTTATGGCAAGTTTGGGGAGCTATCAGTTGGGGACCACACAAATGAGAAGCAAAAAACTACTCCTAAAACTCCCAACCCTCTGAGCCTGACCCCATTACACCCCATTTCCTACTTTTCCTCCTCACCCTGGTCCCCAGGACCCAACCCCTCTCATGGGGGAGGTCCTGGCTCTGTGTGGGGTGCCTGTGCCACCCAGTGGAGGCGGGTGGGGAGCCGGGGTGGCTTTCAGGGACATCGGGGGTGGATGTGAGTTGGGACTTTCTTCACCTCTCCTCCTCCCTTGCTCCCAGAAGACAGAGCTGGTGCTCCAAGCCTTGCGGCTGCACAGACTGTGGAGGGGACAGGGATGAGTTCCCTCCACGGACTCCGCGTGCCATTGAAAGTCGGCTCCACGCATGCCCTAGGTTGCCGACCCCTGTTCTAGATGTAAGTTAGTTTATAAGACTTGAAGTCAGTGTTCTCAGAATCACTCTCCTTTTAAACATCTTGTAAGTAATGAGGCTGTATAGTTTCAGGAAATACCTATAGAAAAAAGAGAGTTTTTAAAATGCCTCTCTTGTTGAATTATCCGGTTTTAATTTAAGATGCTTGAATGAAACATTTCTACACACTTAGAATTAGTGCATTTCTTCTCTGAAAGTGTGTGTGTGTGGGGGGGAGGGCGATGATTCTGTTTACTGATCAGATTGATTCCCCTATGTACTATCAAGGGGATAGTACTCCTGCTACTCCAGTATCCAAAATAGTTAAGTGTTAAAAAACCCAACTAGTTAAAAGTGACATCTAGTAAAAAAGTGACATGTAATTTTGAGTATCATAGTTGCCCCTAGTTGATCCTGCCAGTTTTTGTGGTAAATGATCTTGTTCTGAAAGACCCACACAGAGAGAGAAAACTGAGTGTACACACACAACATGGAGTTAAATGCCAAAGTACATTGAATGAACAGCTATCTGTCTTCTGTGCTTTAACTGTAGTCAGTAAATATTTCATACAGGTCAGAGTTTATTTATGTCTGAATTTATTTCTAACTGAAATATTTGCTCCCTAGCACGTTCCACCCTCCCTGTTCACGGAGCCTAATGAGATCTCTCAGTATTTACCTGTAAAGGAGACTGTTTGTGAGAAGCTAGAATTCCCAGAGAAGTTGGATGCTGAGCCTACAGCTTCATCAGAAAGCACATGCATGGAATCGAAATAAATGTGATTTTATGTGGACTTGAAGTGGGTGCTCTTCTGGAGATCGTATGATCACTTGACCATTACCACTGGGGTAGTTTCACTATTTATGAAATAAAGATAATATGTTTGGCTAATTTTTCTGTAGCTTTACAAGGGGCAAAAGGTCATTTCAGGCAGGTTTCACTAATGTATATATTGTCCTTTTTTTAAAAAATTCATTTCAAACCTGTATCTGGAAATAATGATAGATTGGTAGCAAACAGGAGAATTGCCTTGGCAAATAAGCCCCTCCCATGAATAGCAGTTCTTGTTCTGTTTTAAACATTTGGCAGTTGTATTGCCTGAACCCTCAACCACTAGCTCCCTACATCAAGAATTTTGGCTCTTGATACTAAGCAGCTAGTGTAATTCACAAAACTAAACAGCTTTGACTAACTCTATGTAGAATACTTCTATAATAAAATGTTTTGTTCCCTCTGGTGCATATGATGATTGACCTTCAGTTGTACATTAGAAATGTTTCTTGGTTAGCCCTGGTGTAAGCTAATATACAAGTTAGGTAATTCCTCTGACTCTTAAACGCACACCTCTCATTGGAGGATATTTTTTCTTCCCTCCATGAATGGTTTTAAAAAGTTAGCATTGTGCAAAGCACTAAAATTTCAGACACATTATAAAGATCATTTGTTACCTTGTTTGGGAGCCATTAACTCAGAGTAGGAAATGGCTTGAAGTTAACAGAGGAGGCCCACACAGTGCTAAGTTTGTTAGCAAGTACCAATTCACCTGATGTCTAGAGGGGCTGGACTATCTAACAACACTAGTCTGATTCTTACACGGGATAGGTGTGCTGCTAATGCAGTGTCTAGTCATCAAAATGCATTGCACTGTATCGACTTTCCAGTGAGCACCCCATTTAATCGGTTATGCCTTGACAAACTGCTAGGTCCCAAGTATTTCAGTTCCTAAAGAATTGAGGTATTGGTTTTTGGGACTGGATTTCCCTAACCTTAAAGGGACACTGTCAAGTATGATAGGCCTGAAATTTAGGATTTTTTATCCTAAAAATCCTAATATGATTAAAAGTGTATTTGTGTGTATATTCATGGTTTTGTTCAGTGCAATTTTATACTTTTTGTGGATTTAAATAATTGCCCTTTGTAGCCATGAAACCTAAACACTTCAGTGTGGTATGGCATGAGAACTAAGAAGCTAAATAGGGTTTCATGCTCATATTGAATGGAGTGCAAGAATCAAAGATGATGGCAAAAAATAAATCTTAAGTTTTTAACTGACTTAATATATTTCAGGATGGTGGCAATAATTCAGATGAGGGAAGAAAACTTTTAATCTTATTAAGGAGAGTATATATTCTAATTCTTCCTTACATCAAAATATGCAATTTAGAGTGGATCCATAGTGATGAGATGTGTAAAAAATAAATAAATAAATAATTTTTTTTGTAAAACAAAACCATTGAGACTTAAAAGAAAGAAAAAAGCTGCTTCAATTTAAGATGACACTGGATTTTAGAGAAAGCAACTGCCATCAAAATAACAGCAGGTATCTTTCAGAAGATTGGTTCCACTAGGGCAGTGAGACAGTATGGTCTAGTGGAGTGAGCATGGGGCTGAAAGGCAGGAACTTCTAAACAGTAGTCCTTACTCTGCCATGGATTGACTGTGTGACTATGGATAAGTCACTTAACTTTTCTGTGCCTCTGTCCCCATCTCTATAATGGGGTAATACATTCCTACCTCACTAGATCTGTGAGGATTAGTTTGTAAAACATTTTATCTCTGCAAAGAATTCTTGAATATGCCTGCAGCCTTACATTTTGAAAAGACTAGCATGAAAAACAAACACACTCGATGGTTTACTATCAATTTGATTCAAATAGAAGAGGACTGAATTTAAAATATAACTGACTACTCAAAGAGCTAGGTAATTCCCTGGCAGATGTTGCCCAGGAACATCTAAAATGTGGGATGACAGGCTATTTGGCCTCTGATAAGCAGGTAAATCCTCATATGCAAAAATCCTATTTTATTCTTTTTCTCCAGCACCAAGGCCCAGCTACCTCCAAGCTTCTTCCTGCATTTGGTTCCTAGTCAAGCTTCTATATCAAGATAAACAGGGTGAAACTGGCAGGGAAGGAACTTGATATGGAAACAAACATAGTAAATTAGTTTGGGAGAAACAGACTTAAGTCTCATTCATTGAGGGGGAAAAGAAGGCAAGGGACTGGAACAACAATGTGCAGAGAGGGAGGATCTAATTGTTGGGGAAGTAAATATTACTTCATCGTTTATTCACAGCATACACCATTTTAGATGCCTCTTAAGAAGTTTAAAAATCTGATATTTTGAAATTGTGGTCCTTAGTGTTGGAGAGGAGAGTTGGGATGCTTATAATATAAGGAAACATACCTGTGTACTGGCTAAAATACTATGGTTCAAGTTTGGTCAGTGATACAAGTTCAGCTCCATTACACTGAGGCAGGATAGAGAAAAACAGTCCACATATTCCATGTCTAATATTAAGAAAAGAGTGCATTGCATGTTCAGCATATATTGTGTGTAATAGCCCTTCCATTACTGATTATAGTGTTTTTGTGATGTTTAAAACAGAGCTGTGGAGTTTGCACTTATCTTTGAATATGTACACCATTCTATCTGTTCTGGCTACCTGCATTTAAATGGAACATGCATCCCTGAGAAATCACAGGCTCCTATTAGAAAATTATACTTTTTTTCTTGTCACTCCAAATTTAATGTTGTGTAAATACACAAGAGGCTGTGAAATTGGTATCCTGGATGCTGCTGGGGGTACAAGCTTCCCAGAGGAAAGAAGCCAGTGCCAGTGTTACAAGATCCTTTGAAGGGATGGAAGAAGTGCTTCTCTGGCAGTTTTGTGGTCACTTTAATATGTGATGGTCTATACTTGTAGTTTTCTATCACTATATAAAATGTACACAACATTTTATAGTTCTAAGTCTGAGTTTTGATAGCAAAATATAAAAGGACAGTATACTTGGAAGATGCAACGCCACTTTAGATATGAAAACAATTAGGGCAGCATTTGTTACAGTGTTCCTGTGTAGGGAGGTGAACCCAAACACATAGTTGGAGGACCAAGAAAGATGGATAGGCCTCTACCAACCCATAGGAGGTTGAAGGTAGGCTGTAATTTTTTCTAAAGCAGGGGTGTGGTTTCAGGTTTCAAAAGTTTGGATAGTACTGTATTATAGCATAGCTTTCAGATGTGATGAACACTTTAAGGATGTTAAATAGCGGTTATTTGGCTAATCCTGTAGTCGATAAAAATTTGTATCAGCTACACGATTAATCAATAAGGAACGCTCTGCAGGGGTAGCTCCTAGAGCTGGCTTGAGCCACAGGACTCTTACTACAGTTAAAATGCAAAGGCACGGCAGTCCAGAGCCGGCGTGAGCTGGGACTGAGCCAGCTCCGGGAGTCACCTGCACTGCGGCTCTGCGTTTTAAATGTAGTCAGAGCCCGGCAGCTCTTACTATATTTAAAATGCAGAGGTCCCAAACCAGCAGGAGCAGGGACAGCTGGGTCCTGGCTCATGCTAGGTCTAGCAGCCCCTGTTTGTGGTGGCTTGGGGTGGCTGTGAAAAGGGGCTGTTTGGCAGCAGCAGTCCCTGTCTGTGGGGGAGCCACAGCTCCCTACTGGGAACCCTGCGGACAGGGGCTGCTGCTGGAGCAGCCTCCCCTATTTCCTTCCCTCTGTTGCCTCTTATCTGATAGAGGCAGCAGGGGAGGAGCAGGCAGCACCACTGAGACAGTAGTGGGGGAGGGGAGACCCGCTTTTAAGCCAGCTCCATCAGCACCAGCTCCTATTTTCCCTCTCCCCTCCCCCTTGCTGCCTGTCATAGGCTATGTCTAGACTGCTGCTTTTTTTCTGCAAAAGGTATGCAAATTGTGCTCCATAATTTGTGTACCTTTTTCTGATAGTTTTGTCGGAAGAGGCTTTTCTGAAATTTGGGCCATCTACACTGGGCCAAATTTCAGAAAAACCTCTTCTTTTGGAAGAGCCCTTCTTCGTGGAAGGAAGAAGACAAGGCTTCTGAAAGAGCGTGTCTGCAATTCTGCAATAAATGTCAGCAGAGCAGACGAGTCCCTGAATGCAGCAGAGTTTTTCCAGGATACCTTACAGTATCCCAGAAAAACCCCATAGTCTAGACAGCCATACAGAGACAGTAAGGGGTGAGGGAAAGCGAGTAGTCGAGTACTCCACTCGACTACTCAATAAGCTTATGCTTATCGGGTAGTTGAGAAATCAACTACTCGCTTACATCACTACAACACTTATGGCTTCCTTAGAAGTCAGTCTCATGTGCACTTCTTAGCGCATCAGACTCTTTCCACTCTCCAAGAACAATAAACGTTGTGTGTGTGTATATATATATTGAAATTTAAAACTCAGTTTAGTGCTAAATGTGCAGGGATAACACTGGGAAACCAAAGCACTCTAAAGACTCACAATACTGCATTTCTCAGTGAATCTTGGGGAAAAAAATAGGGCTGTCAAACAATTAAAAAACTAATTGCAAGATTTTTAAAAATCATGATTAATCAATTTTAATCATTTATTTAAATGTCAGATGCTTCTATATTGTCTATGTATTGATTTAACTTAAAACACAATGCAGTGCACAGTGTTCCCATAACTTTGCTTATATGTTCACATTATAACTGATTACATATTTGCAATGTAAAAAAGGTAAGAGAAAAATATCACTTCACTTCATTCAAGTACTGTAATGTAATCTCTTTATCATGAAAGTTGAATTTATAAATGTATTTTTTACATGACTGCACTCACAAACCAAATAATGTAAAACTTTAGAGCCAACAAGTCCACTCAGTCCTGTTTCTTGTTCAGTCAGTTGCTAAGAATGACAAGTTTGTTTTTATTTGAGAGAGAATGCTGCCCACTTCTTAGTTACACAGCTACCTGAAAGACATGTAGTCACATGGGACTGTTGTAGCTAATGTTGCAGGATATTTACATGCCAAGTACACTAAACATTAGTATGTCTCCTGCTGCTTCAACCTCCATTCCAGAGGATACACTCCATGATGATCAGTTCTGCTTGATAATGATCCAAAGCAGTGCAGACTGATGCATGTTCATTTTCATCATCTGATGCCATCAACAGAAGGTTGATTTTCTTTTTGATGGTTCAGGATGTTGCTCTTTTAAGACTTCCAACTGAATGTTTGACACCTCATTCATCTCAGATTTTGAAAAGCACATCAGAGCACCTTGGGTTGAGTGCTGTAACTATTTTTAGAAATCTCGTATTGGTCCCTTCTTTGTGTTTCGTCAAATCTGCCATGAAAGTGTTGTTAAATCAAACAATATATGCTAGGTCATCTGAGAGCGCCATAACACAAAATATATGACAGGAAGCAGGTAAATCTACAGAGCAAGAGATATACAATTCTCTCCCAAGGACTTAAATCGCAAATTTAATTAACTTTTTTTTTTTAACAAGCATCAGCATGAAAGTATGTCCTCTGAAATGGTGGTGGAAGCATGAAGGGGTATGTGAATGTTTAGAATATCTAGCACATGAATACTTTGTAACAGTGGCTACAAAAGTGCTATGTGAATGCCTGTGAATTGAAAAACATGTTTTTTGGCAAGTATATGTTTTCACAAATATTATAAGGAGAACACTGTACACTTTGTATTCTGTGTTATAATTGAAATCAATATATTTGAAACCCAAAATATACTAAATTTAAATTAGCATGGTAGTGTTTAACAATGTGATTACAACTGTGATTAGTTGTGATTAATTTTTACATTGAGTTAATGGCAGTTAGTTGGCAGCCCTAAAAATCTAAACAAAACAAGAAAAAACACTGCCTGTCTACTTCCTGTCTGAATAAAATTACTGGATGATAGTTAAGTAAAACAAACTTGAGCCCATAAGGGCTCTGAAAAAGCTGCACAATGTTTTCTATTGATGTGCTTTCATGTCTGTTCAGATCATGAACACTTGAAGCTAGCTTGTTTGGTACCGTGGTGTTGAATTGTTTAAAATAAATGAAAAATTAATGTTTTAATCATAATATGCCTCTGTTTACTGTGTCGAAACTAGACCTGCACTTCAAGAATGTAATCTATTTCCATCACCCCAAAGTTATGAAGAAATTGCTCATTGTACCAGTGTTTTGGATCTTAAATTGACGTTTGAGAGACCATAAAGAAATGTATTTGGTGTAACTGAAGATATTAAATGCTACAAGACTTGATATTTGTAAGACATGTTTTAAAGTAGTGCAACTTGACCTTTTCAGAGTGCAGCATTCCAAAGTGAAGAAATGTTTCAAAATGCTTTGTTTGTAAAACAGGAGAGAGCAGTGCCCTTATGAAAGCAGGTGTACTACTGTCTTATAGTTTATAGCATACTTAGTAATTAAAGTGTCTGATCTTGTGTTTTTGAAATCAGTGAAATGTTATGATTGACTTCGGTGGGTGCAGGATCGTGCCCTATGTAATACCAACAACTTTTGTATACTAAGGCCAGATCCTGCAAACACTTCACATCTATGTGCATTTGAGCAATGAGTAAAGCATGTACAAAATGTTGCTGGAGCAGGTCTAAAAAAGCAACCATGGTTGCTTATAATCTCAATGTTACAAGTCTTCAAAGATTTTGCTATATAAATAATTCATATTCTGGAAGCCAAATAAACTACATTATTGAGCACTACCAGATGTTCCCAGCAGTGCTTGGGATTGTAATTTTTTTTGAGGGAGTTGGAAGGTGGGGTGGGGTCCTGAAGGAAGGGAGTGGAGGGTTAGGGGATTCAGGACGGGGTGGAGGAGGTCTGAGTGGGTCAGGGCTGAGGCTGCACTGCCCTACTAGTGGCTCCTCCCAGGGAAGGCCATGGCAGTGGGTGCTGCAGTAGCTGGCTCTGCCTGGTGGCTTCTTCCCCTGGGGGGGGCGCTGTGCTGCCCTAAAGCTGCCTCCTCTTGGGGCGGGGCTGCCGTGGCAGGGGCTGCACTGGCTGGCCCCTTCTGGCAATGCTCCCCAGTGGGGCCATCGTGGCAGAATTCTGCAATGCTTGGGCCCTGGCTGTTAGCTGCTTCCTGGGAGGAGGGGGACTGCTGGCTGTCAGGGGACTTGTCCTGCAAGAGGAGTTTGGCCTGAGGCTTTGGGAGAGAGAGGCCACTTACCCAGACTGGTGGCCTGCAACATGCAAAGCCCAGTTCCCAACTGCCCACTCTCTTACTGATGTGGTTGCCCCCCTGGGATCACTCTGCAATATAACAGTCTGCTGTGCTTGCTGCCCCCCTGTGGTCATTGTGGAGTATAACCACTCCTATCAGGCTCCTCCCTTTCTGTGTTATGGGAAACAATGGGATTCTAGGCACATCCCACTGTCCTGGCACAGCCAAACCCTTACCTTGCTTTAAGTTATAAGAGGAAGCTGCATACCGAATTTGGTGGTACTAGCCCTTACTATGTAGGAGACATTGAAAAAATGGACTCTCAGGTGGACAGACAGATGCACATTTCTAACATACAGTAAGAAGATTAGCTAAACAAAAGAGGAAAGCAAATATGTATCCAGTGAAAGTAGTGAAGAAATAATTAACAGAGCACTGGCTTTTGGAGGTTTTTAAGAGTTGGTTAGAAATAAGACACTGTGCATAACTATGGCTTGCAAACTATAGTGCGTCAGGGAGAAAACTAAAAAGGTGAATATGCTCTATTTTAAGAAATAATAAAATAGAGTGAAAGTTGCCCATCTATTATTTTGCAGTACATTATCTTAAATATGTCTGAAGTAATGTTAGAGGACTCTTGTGCAGCAGAATGAGCTAAGACATTCGAGCACAGTATGCAGTGTTGCCCGATGTACACATTCAGAAATTATGATTCAGGCTTTCCAAAACAGTAAGAAAGTCTCAGAAGGGTAGCCATGTTCAGGGCTTGCCGAGTGTCAGTGAGCCCTGCTCGCCAGCAGTGTGGTTCTGCGCTCTGCGCGTGTGCAGATCGCTTCATGCCGGCTCTTCCGGGGTGTAATCTACTCACCACGGGTGAGTAGATTACACTATTTGTCGAGCCCTGGCCATGTTAGTCTGTAACTTTAAATACTGCAAGTAGTCCTGTGGCACATTAGAAGCTAACAAAAATATATATAGGATCATGAGCTTTTGTGGGCAAAACCTACTTCAGATGAGCTGGAAACTGGAGTGGAAATAACAGGAACCCAGAATTTATAACAGGAAAAAGAAGGGAAGAAAAATAGGGGGCAATGGTACCTGTCAGTTGTAGTACCTGTGCTAATGAGGCTAATTGAGTGGGCTGGAAGTGTCTCATACTTAGCTTTTGATGTAAATGAGGAGTTAAATGCAGGGAAGGTTGGATTTATAACCACATCTAGTTAATGTCTTTGATCAAGGCCAGGAAAACAGTGGTAAATTTGCATATGAAGGTTAATTCCCCACTCTCTCTGTAATTGGCCTGTGATATTTCTTTGTAGAAGGATGGCTGCTTTTAAATTCACGACTGAGTGCCCACGTAGGGCTTATGTGGGTTACCATTTCTGATGTCTGAAGCCAAACAGTGAGGTTTATTACGAGATCAAAAATACTAAATGTTTGCTGCTTTTCATTTGCACTGTTTTTGAGCCTTTGGATTAGCCTTGCGACCCATTTCTCAGCATTTCCCCGTCACACCGATGTCTAGAAACTTTTAAAACAAAACTTATTTCAGATTCTCGCAGCTCCGGAGCCGAGGCGTTAGGGAAAGCAGCCGATATTGGGAAATTTGCCATAAAATCCTAAATTGGCAACGCCGCGTTGGGGGCAGTTCTGCACTGGGCGATGCGAGGGCGCAGAAAAGGAGCAGCTCGGCCACTAGGTGCCTCGGCATGGGCGCCAAGGGCCCCGCTCTGGGGGTGCCGCACACCTTTCTGCAGGCAGGCGAATACAGTCCAGACGGCAGCTCCCAGCACGCATCGCGCAGCGGGGCGGGACTACATCTCCCAGCAGGCACTGCACCGGCTCAGCCGCGGGGTTGGCTGGCGGTGGGTGTGTTCCGCG